CTTGGGCTACTCTTTTACCAATGAATAGTGGAATTGACCGTCACATTATAACGCCCCGATGTTTGGTGTGACGGGGATCCGAACCCGCGACCCTCAGATTGCGAGTCGAGCGCCTTATCCATATTTTGGAACAAGGTTACACAATGGGCTATTTGCACTCTCATCACCGTGGTGTGTGTGGCGGGTGTTGCTGACTGCATTTCCTCGCTCTGGTCATCAATTTTGATTAGGAATGGCTATTGCCTGAACCTTGAGAAGGATTTTTTACCTACAAATTGACATTCAGATTTAAAGAAAAATCAATCATTCTTACTTGTGAAAGAAACAGGTAAGTTAGCAACATAAATTGTCGTTGTTGTTCTTTGTTATTAAGCACAAAGCTACACAAAGGGCTACCTGTGCTCTGCCCACTATGGATATCGAAACCCGGTTTCTAGCACTATAAGTCCGCAGACATGCCGCTGTGCCACTGGGGACGCAACTTAAATTGAAAAATAAACACAAATCAAACCTATTATTACCGCGTACTATTATACGAAAGGATCGAAATTACTTTTGAATATTAATAACAGTTAATCACAACTTTCTTCTAAATTATTTACAAATAATGTTAGAAATCAAAAGCAATATCAAAGCTCTAAAACTCTGTCTTTTGAAAGTGACGCTTAATATGATCTATTTATAATTATGCCCCTTATCTAAAAGTAGACTGTTTCTTCATATATGCATATAAAATAATACAGTTTACTTAAAATATTCTTCTGTGTGAAATAACAGATAGCCAAAGTAACAGTTTAGTGACGAATTATTTATTGTTTTTCTAGCAGTTTGTTTTATCTCTCTACTTGTTTAACTATCTATACAGCTATCTTTTAAGATTATATGCAACGTTTCACAGAATGTTTTAATTACTAAAATGCTTTCACTTTCTTGAAAATAGCTTAATACTGCTTTTATTTATTTATTTGTAGAGAAAATCTTATATAAGTGTTTTTGTTCCCCGGTAGCTCAGCGGTCAACTTGAAGATTTACAATGCTAAAATGTAGGTTTTAATTTCTCTGCGGAAACAGTTAAGATAGTACATCGTGCAGCTTTGTTTGTTTATAGTTAAGCACAAAGCTACACATTGAGCTATCTGTACTTTGCCCACTACGGGTATCGAAAACCGGTTTCTAGTGTTATAAGTCCGCAGACATACCGCTGTATCATTCGGGGACGTGCAGCTTTGTGCTTAACAACAAACAAACACAATTTATTTGCATTCATCATTCTTTAAGAATTTATCCACTCCAATTAATAAATTTAGCAATGAGTTATACTAGTTTGTGGGAATTCCACTCAATTACTAACTCCGGCGAGAGCAAATTGAAGAAATAAAGCCAGATCTATTATGCAGTGGTGAACTGTATATTACATTCACAGTGTTTTAGTTGTTTTTTACTCACCATAGTGAATCTATATTGAGCAGGTATAACTGAGTAACAAGTGGCAAACTGAATCATAATTTCGGCTTCTTTTTTAATATTAGTAATTTGAACAGTTTTTCTACTTTACTATTCAGATCGAGTTAGTAGCATTAGTGCTCAAAACCTGTATAAATATAGGTTCGCTGTGCTGAATAAAAGTCAACTAAAACAGATATTATCTTTCAGTATCGAATTTTAAAGAGGGCGCTTAAGATATAAATACAAAGACACATCGTGATAATGTGGAAGAACATTGCTAGGTAAGAACCTGAGAAAGAAACAGTAAGCTTATACATTAATAGTACTTTAACATTTAACTGAAAACATCAAGTAGGGAGCTAATTGATAATTATAGTATTTGTTTACTTATACCTGTAATTATTATTCCCATTTTCTTGGGCCTTAATGTCATACTAGAATTAATGTTGACACAGACAGGTTGTGTTAGCGCCATCTGTTAATTGGAGAGGTAAACATTTCTAGAAGTTTTTTTCTTTTCTCTGGTGCGTTGGTTATTTGCGACATGTTAATATCGCAAAAACATTTTTGTTTCATGTTAGTGGTAAAAATTTCCTATTTCATTAAAATGTTAAATCCAATACCCTGTTGCGGTGCGTGATATTAGTTAAAATTAAATAGGAAAATTATTTCATATCAAGCTTCATTTACGTTATTAGAAATAATTACAGTGTATTATTTATACTATAGTATTATTTATTAATTTTTACATTATTGCCATAGATACAAAAAGCATGTACATGTTGTAAGCTATGTTATGAAAAAATTCATCAAATATCTTGACACTTGGGCATATTGTAACATACTTTATCTACAGGCTAGAATTAAGATTTTGCTATATTATAGACTTAGGATAAAAGTACCTCATTTAATTATAGTATACTTTACTTTAGATGGCCAAGTTGTAAAATCATGGATGCAAGCCATTACTAATTAGTGATCAGTAAGTAGATTTGACATTGACAGAAACTTTTTTAACTGATCCTAGCCTGTTGTATAGCTGGATTGACTTTATTAAGTTAAACTTGCAACACTAGAAACTCATATTTAAATTATTGAATTTATTTCAATAATTCCCCCTATCATATTATAAAGTAGCAAATTATTCGTAAGCCTAGGTATTATTGTAAATTTAGGCTTTTTTGTGTATCTATATGTTTCTGATACTTGCAGAAATTGATAAGTATTTTTTTGCTTTTCATATTTTGTATTATGTATGAAAATATTTCAGTTTACAGAAAAGATGGTGATGCATTTACTAGTTTAACACAGAGGAATAAAATGACTTAAATCTAAGAGAAAAAAAAAACTGTGGTAGAAGCCCAGTGAGGTTAGCCTTCACCCACTAACTTAAGTAATAAATCCAAATTAGATTAATACGTTCTTGTTCAGGTTTGTATGTATTCAACAAAAGCTTAAAATATTTCCAGCTAAATATATATAATTTGTAATTTTGTAATACTAACTAAAAATTATTTTGCATGAGAGCAAGTGTACATCTGGGTTAACAAAACTTAAATCTGTAACCCTAATATTAAATTTTTTATTTCCTATATGCTTGTTCCATAACTCAAACACTCCACTCGGGGAGAATCTCTTCAAATCCTTACAATTTTGAACACCTGAATAAACTTATTTCTGATTCTTCTATGTTCCGAAACTAACCTTAAAGGGTAAATTGGCGCACTGGGCAGTTGCTCGGTGGGCTGGTACATTTGACATATTTCTAGAAATTGATTTTAAATTTTAATTTTTCAGCCAGTATGCAGCATGTGATATTGCACAGGCTGTTCCTTTAATGCCAATCTTCCCTGCTAAGCTTCTTATAATTTAGATTATTTGAACCACATATAATTATGCTTGCCCATTTTTACATGCTGATAATCTTCCTTTCATAAAGAGATGAAGACTTTACATTTAATTCCGGATGAGGCCTCAGCAGAGCTTTATGCAAGGTTTCAATAATCAACTCGATCTGAAACTTAAATTCCTGTAACTAGAACTAAGAACTCTTTATTTGTTTTGTTTTCTCACCATAACTAAACACTCGTTAAGATGTATTTGGATGTTATCAGCAGTCACACTTAAATCTTTTTCTTTCTATGACAAAAATTATCCTTTTACAAAAAAAATAACTCCTTTCTAAATTTTCGTAACCCAAATGTTTAACTTAACACTTTTTTAGTATTCAAACTCATTTTCAGTATTGTGGTGCACTGAGTAAAATTACCAGATCCATTTAGATAACAGAAGTGTTCTCAACAGAATCAGCTCTTCGTGCTCCCCAGTGGCTCAGTGGTACATCTAAAAACTGATTGACACAGTACAAATAGCCCATTCTGTAGCTTTGTGCTTAACTAGTAACAAAAGAAACAAACAGCTTTTTTTTAGCCTTCAACAAATTTATAAAATATTACTCTATAAGAAGTGACTCAGTGATTCAACTCACTGACATATTTCAAAAAACTACAAAGGACAACTAATTAACCTTTGTGAGATACCTTATCAAAGATTTTTTGAAATTTATGATTTGCAACATTAGCCAGGATACCCTTATCCAAAGAAAAATTAGAAACCGTTTGAAACAGCTGAACAAGGAAACTATTTCCAAACATTTATTGAAGATCATCAATTAAATGTAAAATTTTTATGTGCTTTTCGAAGTTACTTCTTAGTTCTAATAACAGATTCCAAAACCTTGCCAACAGAAATTATATATAGTAGGCTTATAGTTTCCTGAATATCCCTTTCTAATAAAAAATACTAATTACATTGGCAATCTTGTGATCACCGAGAATTTTCCTGGTTATATAAATGATAAAGTCCCACTAGCTCTCTGGCAATTTTTTTTTGAAATTTTAAGATAAGTCTTGTCAGAATCTATTTTGTTATTTTGAAGAAATTTCCTTTTTTTTTTAAACAACTTTACCATCAACACAAATAAAATTTAATGAAAAATCCTTCCCACCCTTAAAGAAATTGATCAGCCTGGAAATCACTTCTTCTCCTATAGTAAAAAAACAGTACTGTAATAAAGAATGTTGTTAAGCATTTACTTTTTCATAGTAAATCTTCCTTCACATCTCTAAAAGGATCAGTATTATTCTTGACTTAATTTTTAGATTTAATTGTAAGTATTCAAAAAAACTTCAGTTTCCTCATTTTATAAGTTTAATTTACATTCTATACCTAACACACAGAAAAATGACAATTTCCATGCTTAAAGCTCAGAATTAGCTCTCTCTGCCTGGTTAAGAATTCTTCAGATCTGTCTAACTCCAATATGTAATATAAATAGAGTATTTTCTTTAGCTCCTGCCACTAAACAATATCTCTCTCTATAGCACCCTGAACATAATAGCATATTTTCCTCCTTGTTTTCCTATGCACTATGCCAGAAACAAATCTTTTAATATACTTAATTATCATCTACTTCTTCACCATCAACAGCCAGATGTTAAAATATATTTGAAATAATAACATATGTTTCCTTAGCCTTAGATGTTCCATTGCACACATTATTAAATCTAGTATTTTCCTCCCATTTCAAGAGCAATCTTGACTTGAAGATTTTCTGTTTATTTTCATATTTCTGTAACCTCCTCATTCAAAATGCATCTTTTAATAAAATGAACTGAATAATTAAAATGGATTATTTTATATTTAAACAATTAAAAGTTTATTAAAGCTGTTAATGGTTTCCACTTGAAAACACTATATGTTACATTTCAATGCCTTTTTTATTTATTTGGTTTTAAATAACCATTTATTTGATTTTTAACATTACACCAGTTTTGGTCATTCATGATTGCTTTCTTTTACTGTACAATTCAGCAGTTTTTCTCAAAATTCTGACTCTTACCCCTCATTAAATAACCCTATACACTTTCAAGGTCACCATAGTGGTGTTGAGCTTAGCCTTGATGATCAATCTACATACGCCATTGAATAACAGAACTCGTCTTCATCACCAATCAAGAATTTTTACAGAGAGCTCTTGAAGAAGCTGTTTCTACTCTTTCATATTTGCTTCAATGTAATAAAAGCTAAAACAAATTAATCTAATGGCATATATATAAAATAATCAGACAAATCTTAATTTTAAAATTTCTAAGAACAGAAATAAATCATCTTTTGATTCTTGCACATACCTCTGAATTATTTAAGCATTATGAAACTTTTTCATCTGACCTTTAAAATATCTAATTTACTATTTGACATTTTGTGAGATCAATATAATTGAAATATTTAGGAATTTGCAGTTGAATATGAAGAGATTTTGAAAATGAATATGTGGTCTTTTTATTTTTTAATATTGTTTTGCCAGGTTGAAAGTTCAGTACATCCCACTATACAAAGTTGTTAAGATTATTTTATTATTTTGTTTCCTTCCTAAAGAAATTACCAGTTTAATTGCTTTTTTTGGTCTTTTCACTCTATTTTCTAATGGAAATTCTTGAAATAAAAAATTACCCTAAAACTGAGCTCTTAAAAATCAAAGTATTACATATACAAGTACTTTCAATTATAAAAAAAAAAGTTTTTTTTATATTCTTCCTTGCATATTTATCTTGAGTTTTTATTTATAAACTGTGAAATCCTTTGTATATTTCTTCTTCTGAGAAATGTTAACTTTGCCTTTGATTTTGATGACTGTTGTATTAGATTTAATAACTTTCCAAGTGTTTTATTGACTTGAATATTAAGTCATTAAAGTACATGAATTTTTTTTTAGAAACAACAAATTGTATATAACCAGTTATTTGGTTCCAAACGAAAGTCAAAACTGCCAACAGTTTTATCAGTAATAAGTTAATGGTATGAAATTGAAATGTAGTATTTTTATATTCCAGGCAGAAAGATTACTTACTCATTCTAAAGTTATCACATCTGTATACCTATCCAAAAAATGTTTGAATGAAACTACTGTACAATTAACTGTATACTCCATCTGATAAGGGAAATAGCTCCATGATTTTATAACTATCGGAGTAGCAGCTTTACCCAAGAACTATCTCGATCTAAACTTCTGAAGCTTATACATTTACAAGCTATATATTGTCCTTAATATGTATTTTCTTTCAACTATAGTAATCCATCGTTGAAATCTAATTTTCATAAAAGTTCATCTTACCTCTTTATTATTATTTATAGATGGAACAAGTCACTTCTAGTTCTTTCATCTTGAGACTCTGGCTGCACTTTGAACTGCAGTTAAATGGATATTTAAAAATCATAAGATCCCTTCTTGTATCTAGATATTGTAAAGTTATCAGTGGCTATTGTTTTAAGTGTTCATCTTTTAGTCACTCTAATTGAGTTGTCTTTTACTGATTCTTGTTCTGAGTAAACTAACTTGTTAGCTTTTATTGTTTGTTTTTTTAATTTCGCGCAAAGCTACACGAGGACTATCTGCGCTAGCCGTCCATAATTTAGCATGTAAGACTAGAGGGAAGGCACCTAGTCATCACCACCCACTGCCAACTCTTGGGCTATTCTTTTACCAACGAATAGTGGGGTCGACTGTCAAATTATAGTGCCCCCATGGCTGAAAGGGCGAGCATGTTTGGTGTGATGGGGATTCGAACCCGTGACCCTCAGATTGCGAGTCGAGCACCCTAACCACCTGGCCATGCCGGGCCTGTTAGCTTTTAGTGTCGTACACACCAAATCTCTCATAGTGGAATGCTCTTGCATGTATCTTTCTCAGTCTTTTGTGGAATGAAGTCATACACAATTAGAAAATGGTACAATAACCTATATTAATTTAAGAGTTTTTAGTTGTTCAGAAAGGACTAGATTACATGTAAGCCATCTTTAATATGTTACTAAAGATTATCAGTTTTCCCTTTTACAACCTCTACCTGTAGAATATTGTAAGGCAGTTCAGTATGTTTTTCTCAGATTCTCACAATTAGCAGTGGTAGGAACTTTAAAAGTTTACTCCATTTTAACATAAGCCACAGACAGTAAGGGAATAGTGAAAAGTCTCCACTACTGCCAATAACAACTCATTTAAATTAAAACTGTTAAAAAATAAAACTTTTTACCTGGAACTTAGTCTGTCTTTTTCCAAATTTAAACTGTATCCTTTCATCCTATTATGTTCAACACAAAGAAATCATAGCCCTTTATCCTTTTGCACCCCCCCCCCCCAATGGATAATCTTGTAAACTTCAGTAAAATCTTTTTTTATTCTTTTAACAAGAGAAAGTACCATATTGGCCCAATTTTAGGTGATCTCAAATATAAGGCGACCCCCATTTTCAGAAACCATGGGAAAGAAAAAAATTGAATCAAAACGTCCTTATTTTAGGTCTGCAAAATCAATACTATAACTGGTGGATTAGTTGCAAGAACTTGCGATGACCGTGAGCAAACATCTGGTGTGTATGCATAGACAGATGCTATCTAGACATCCAGGAATGCAACAGGCTAGAGTAGAGGGAAGGGGCCTGTGGTTGGCCACGATTATAAGGCGACTATGAATTTGACAGCCTAATTATTAATCAAGAAACATCGCCTTATAATCAGGCCAATTTGGTAAGTTGAAAAATCCTAATCTATCCAGATAACCTTTCCATCTCTAAAATCATCCTAGTAACCCTCCTTTGAACCCTTCCAGTAATTCTCACATGGCTTTAGCTTTGGATATTATGGGAGCATTTGGTTTTTCAACGTTGACCTTGCACACTCATCATTTTTTACAAAAGGAAACTGAAACTGTATGCAATATCAATCATATTAGATGGTAATTTTCCCTTCCATCTGAGTTTTGGAAAATATGGCTCCATAGGTCTGGATTTGGTTGTGAGCTCTTCATTAGTTTCTGTGTACTCTTTGAATGCTGTCTTCCTAATATGGCTTTTATTGTTTGGAGAATTGTTCAATACTTGAAAACTAATGTTTATTAGGATTAGTGCCTTGAGCTTTACACTTCTGATTCTTCAACATGTATTTCAACCAGATATATATATGTAATCATTTTAAACAACCATGATGGATTTTTAGAACAAAAGTATCACTGTAGCTAGTTATTAATGACTCAGATTTTGTTGTTATGCTAGTATGTTTTAGAGGTGAATATTCTTCTCAATTTAATTAGTATAATTATAATTTTTTTTCTCAATTTTAGGTGTCATTTATTTGTCAAACACCAGAGGAAACAAAAATATAGAATGCTTTTATTATCACCTGTCTATTATAACATGATTTTTACTTTTACTTTACAAGTATGGTTTGTCTCATGAGCATTTAAACATTTTTACGTTTAAAGTGTATGCAGTCCAACAAATGCATGTATGGTGTTTTGTAACAGTCAGGAGAGAGAGTTGTCTGTTTGGGACTTGGTAACTCAGTTCATAAGAGCAATGGTTCCAAAGTACTAATATGAGAGTGGAATCCTGAGTTCAAGTCTCATTCATAGCAGATTGCTTTTCACCTATTTCTGATCATTACGATATAATGTCCATGAAGAAAGAATTGTTTGTACTTGAATTTTAATGAATCTGTATTTTTGTTTTTTGACAGCTCTCTGCATCCATAAATGATGAACAAAGTTCCACAGTCAAACCCTCAGGATTCAAGGCAGAAACTTCAAGAAAACTTAGAAAAAAAAGAAACAACACTAGCAATTAAAAATCACTTAAGTTGTAGTGGAGATAGAAAGAATATTAGTCCCCAGATATCAGATGTCACTAGCAATGGAGAAATGTCATTTTCTGTAACAAAGAAAGAATCTTTGACCAACAATCAACTTTCAGAAAAATGTGAAATAAAAAGTCCCCGTACAACATCTAGTGGCACAACACTCTTAACTTCATCTGGTGATGACTTAGGAAAAAATAATGGATCAGTTTCACATTCTGAGAGCTCTGCATGTTTGAATTCAGTTATGGTTGGAACCAGCCAATCGAAGAGTCAGTCATCTGAGGAAAACTTGTCTTTGATTTCTACACCTAAAAAAGTTGCAGGAAAAAGAAAGAGAGAAATTATGGTAGCTCAGCGATCTTCATCCCGACAAATTAAGAGGAAAAGTTTTGATGATGAAAATTCATCTGCTTCTCCATACAAACATCACAGGAAATGCGACAAGGCAGGTTGTGATGCTGAAATTCCTATTTGTTTTGCTTCTGCAGCCAGAAGGTACGTTAAAGTATTCTCTTCTTATCTTTGATAGGTTGTTTAGGCAGAGTATTCATAATGAATCTAAGTTTCAAATGGACAGCATCTGCCTGTTTTAGAAACTTA